ATTGTTGTTTGGCGGGTCCGGGCTGGGGATTCGAACCCGCCACCTTAGGTGTACGTGGCTGGTGCCTTAGCCGGTTGAGCTATGGGCGCTGAGCCAGATAATTTTTTTTAATTAAATTAAAAGCACAAGCTTTTGGTATGAAAATATTTCATTGGTTAGTATTCCCAGCAGATTTGAAATTAAATGTACATGAATTTTAGGAGGACTGAACAAATACATATGAAAAATTTTCTGCTAATTCAGTTCTAAGTTTTAATTAAAAAATAAGCTTTTAATGTTTCTCTTAACTGGTATGCAGCTAGTGATAGCATTATGCAAGCATTTCTCAGATTTAAAAATTTTTATACATCTAAGAAGAATGGATGCTAAGCTAGAGGATAGACCTATCAGCAAGAAAACATTTTATGTATTTGCTTATCATAGAACCATAACCCTCTAGTCTATTTTGTGTACTTTAGTCAGTATGTTCGAATTACTGTTCAAGTTAATGTGGTTTTTTTTTGTTGTTGTTTGTTTGTTTTTTGAGACAGAGTCTCACTTGGTCACCCTGGGTAGAGTACCCTGGCATCACAGCTCACAGCAACCACAAACTCTTGAGCTTAAGTGATTCTCTGTCTCAGCCTCCTAGGTAGCTGGGACTACGGGTGCCCACCACAACACCCGACTATTTTTAGAGACGAGGCCCTGCTCTGGCTCAAGCATGGTCTCAAACTCCCAAGTTCAGGCAGTCCACCTACTTCAGCCTCCCAGAGTGTTAGGATTACAGGCGTGAGCCACTGTGCCCAGCCTGCAAATTAATGTTTTAAAGTACAAAAAATAAAGTACATTTATTTTAGATTGACTGCACTTTCTAATGCATGCTGAATACTGTTTATTTATTGTGCTTTCCAGATGTTTAGTATTTAAAAAGCATTTGTAAAACTGAAAGATTGCGTTAAGAAATCCTAGTGAGATGTTATGTTCAGGTTACCTTCTGCAGTGCGTATTTCTCGAAGAGAAAGTGGAATATGGCAGGGCTAAATTAAGATGCAGACTAGCTTCATAGTTTTAAAAATTACTACTTATGAATCTGTGTTCTTCTAGGAAGGTGCTGGATGGATGCTTTGGAGTTGGCTTTGAAATGTTCTAGTCTTCTAAAACGTACAATGATCAGGGAGGGAAAGGAACATGACCTGAGCATTTCATCAGATAGCACACATGTGACTCTGTATGGCTTGTTACGTGCTAACAATCTCCACAGCGGTGACAACTTTCAGTAAGTAGATACTGCTGCTAAGTTGGTAATGATTTCAGAGACTGTTTTTTTCTAAGTTAGTTGGCAGGCCTAGAATTTTGATAGTGTATGTAGAAATGAGATTGGCCTATCCTTTTCCCGTTATATGGCATCAGGCTCCTGTGATCAGCTGTAGCAAGTTATTTCCTTGATCCCAGCCCATGTGATGTACTTTGTCTTCCCACGTGCGGCCGTGCTGACCACCAGCTTGTGTTTCTACGGTGTACCTTCCCTGAAGAATGAGTCCTGCTCCTCCCCATTCCTTTCCTCTGTCATAATCCTTAAATATCCCACTTGTTCCTGCCTCATAACAATGAGATATAATCTGTCTATTTTTACAGAATAACATTTTTTGGTAATGGCACTAGGTTTACTCTCCCTGGCATTTGTGGAATTCTTTTATATTTGGAGCTGGAATTGTATCCTCTCTGTGGTTTTATTCCCTGAAACATTTGTTGTAGTTAACACTAAAAAAAAAAAAAAAAAAAAAAAAAATTACCCAGGGCAACTGGGCAGTAATACAGAGACTTTGCTGAGGTTGAGGTCTCTATTGCTGCTCTGTAGGAAAACACCAGACTTGTCCCTTCCTCCCTTTCTCTAGCCCTCAGTTTATTTACTTCCATTTGACCTCTAGCTTGCTTTTCTCAAAGTCAGACTGCTACTCTCCTCTTTGGGTAGCCTGATCCAAACTTTGTTTTCCTGTTTCCTTTTTGCCTCCTTTTTTTTTTTTTTTTTTT